GTGGACATGCTGGATGGCCTGAAAGCAAAAGGAAAAACATTCAAAGTATGAAGTAAAGAGAAAGAAATAAGAGAATTACCAAATAGAAGACATTTACCTGAACGGAATGCTAAAGCATAAGAGCATAGTTCTCATACTCGCTGTACTCAGCATTTCGCTCTAGATCTCCTAGAAGAAGCAACGCAGTACTGAGTGCAACGCCGACATTGATATCATCGGCGCTGTCACTAGCCATAACTGGCTTGTTCTCCAAAGTAATTGTCGGGGCTTAGAGGGCATCCGGTTTTTTTGACCCCGAGGTTGTTGCAGATGATGACCTCGGCCTTTTTGATTTTTGGGATTCTGGTGGCTCAGACTCAGAACGCCTCTTCCCAGCAGAAGGCTGAGGTTTATCACTCTCAGGCAGTTTTGAGATAGGCAAGGTATCTTCAGACTCAACCTGAGTTACCTTCGCCTTTGGCTGATCCTTTTTTACTTGTTTTTACTTTGGGGGAGGCTGGACTTGAGCTGGTTCAGCATTAACATCAGTTGGAATACTAGCCAGGAGATCTTTTGCGACTTGTTTTAGGCGGCCCATATTGGCTGTAAGCACAAGTCATCGCCGACGCTTTCTTTGAGATATCGGGATCAGGTTTAGAGCCGAGGTTGACAGCTGGTCAGCTAGGTCTAAGGTTGACCCTTGATCTGGCCGAGATGTGGACGCAGCCTGGGTAGTTGTGGCAGAAGGGGCTCAGCATTTCGCTCTAGATCTCCTAGAAGAAGCAACGCAGTACTGAGTGCAACGCCGACATTGATATCATCGGCGCTGTCACTAGCCATAACTGGCTTGTTCTCCAAAGTAATTGTCGGGGCTTAGAGGGCATCCGGTTTTTTTGACCCCGAGGTTGTTGCAGATGATGACCTCGGCCTTTTTGATTTTTGGGATTCTGGTGGCTCAGACTCAGAGCGCCTCTTCCCAGCGGAAGGCTGAGGTTTATCACTCTCAGCCAGTTTTGAGATAGGCAAGGTATCTTCAGACTCAACCTGAGTTACCTTCGCCTTTGGCTGATCCTTTTTTTACTCGTTTTTGCTTTGGTGGAGGCTGGACTTGAGCTGGTTCAGCATTAACATCAGTTGGAATACTAGCCAGGAGATCTTTTGCGACTTGTTTGGCTGTAAGCACAAGTCATCGCCGACGCTTTCTTTGAGATATCGGGATCAGGTTTGGAGCCGAGGTTGACAGCTGGTCAGCTAGGTCTGAGGTTGACCCTTGATCTGGCCGAGATGTGGACGCAGCCTGGGTAGTTGTGGCAAAGTTGACTTGTAAGTTGGAATAAAATTGAGAAGTGGAGGTGCTTTCCTTTTATGGACAGACAAGTCCAGAAGTTTCTTCAAGTCTTCACTGGGACAGAAAGACTCGCAGAAGCCCTTTGGTGGTTTACGAACAGCTGCAAGAAGAACAGACATTAGAAACGGATAAAGTATCTGAGACTTTGAAAGAAAACAGGTAAAATGAGAATGTAGGGCTCTTACCATTGCCCTCTATAAAGACTGAACGTGGAAGAGGGAAGAGATGGAGTTCCTCGTCTGGGCTGAATTCCCAATTCCCCGACGTGATAAAATAGTCATCCCCAGCTCCCTTGTTAGAGTCTGGGAGGTTGGCTACGATTTTGAATTCTGTTGACCTCGGCTTAAGGTAATAAATGTAGCCTTTTTCTTTCAAGTTAAGGTCGCATATGGTATAGCAATACTGGATATCGGCTAAGGTGATCCTAGCATTTTCCTATCTTGCTAAGGCTATGATGCCATTGATTACTCGATAAGAATTTATGGCCAGTTGCATGGGGTTCAACTTGTAATAGTGAAGAACCTCGCGAGAGAGGATGTTGAGTGGGAGCCGGAGCCCACACTCAGTGAAAGCTACAATGGGAAAAGGCATCGAGTCATCTGTGGGCATAATGGAGTCGTTATCTCCAGCCAGCCTCAGATGGACATCGGCAAGGATGGAGAACTCTTGCCTAAAGTACTCAAGTTTGGTCGGGGTGTCTACCCTGTGCCTCTACATACCCATAACGTCGGCCTAAAGTTAGCAAGACTGGGTTTCAGAAAGAGATGATCTAAAAAGGTTTTGTGAACCTTGGATAAGACCTAAGTATATATTGGTGCAAGAATTTGTGAAGATTGTTTTGGTTTTGATGGGTTCTATAGTCAAATCCAAACCTAGATCTATGAAGATGAAGATGGAAGGCACAAATCTGGAAAACAGAAAGGCAAGAACGGAGTTTCAGAATCAAGAAAGTGGTGGAACAGTGCGTGTGTTCAAGATTTGGGCAAAAGCAGAATCATGGAATAAAAACATTCAGATATATGGTTCGCAAATCAAATAGTGAACAGAGCAGTAATGGCAACAAATGATGGAGAGCATCAAGTAATTAAAAACGAAGGAAACAGTAGCTTACCAGAAGAAGTAAGGCTGGAATGAGGTTCGCCGAAGTCAAACGATGGTTACAAAAGTAACAAAATAGCGGAAGCTTTACCAGAAGGACGAATGAAGACGATTGCAGAGCTTGGAGCTTGAGCAATGGCGGATTCGAGAGAAAGGGTTTAGAGAGAGAGAAAGCAAGTGAATCGAATGCAAAAGTGCAGAAAAGAAGAGAGAAGGAAAAGTTTTGTCAAAAACTTGAAACGGCGGCAAACAGAGCATTTAATGCGCGTAAAGGAGTTCATTAGAATTCTTGTTCTTAAAAGAAGACATGTTGGCCTGAAATGAATGATCTCGGCTGAGGAGTTCTTGAGCTGATGTACAGGAAGAAGTACCGATATAGGTCCCATCACCTCAGGATACCGAGGTAATAGAACCTAGGGGGCAGTTGTGGGGATATATTTTCTGAGTACCAGCACGTGGCAAGGTGACGCCGACGTGTCAGTCGAGGTGCCACGTGTCTTGGTCATTGTGCCGAGGTAATCTCATCTAGGTCGAGGTTTCCTCCGAAGATATCGGAATTCGAGATAAGCGGATAAGGGACAAGAGTCCTGAAATGAAGAAAAGACTTCAAGATGGGTAAGGATAGGACTCCTGGAAGTCTATCCTTATCTCTTGAAGAGTCCAAGATAAATCCAGAATTGAAGTCCATAGAAGTCAGGCTTCTAGTGGGACTAGGATTGAGTTAACTATAAAAGAGAGGCACCCCCGGTGGGTCTAAGGTACGCAATTTGTATTCAGAGCAGTGAATTTAGCACTTGATTATCTTTGAGAGATATACTGACTTGCTCGTCGGAGTGCGCCCGGGTAGAAGAACCACCGCCGGAGCCTTTTCTTTCTGTTGCAGGTTAGCTGAAGCCATCTATTCTGCCAGTACTCTCTAACTGATTACTAGACGGACAGTGTGATCAGAAAATCACTCACACAATAAGTAATCAAATGATTGTCACTGTTACCGTCGAAATAATACTGTCAAAGGATTTTCAAGATGTTGAGTGTAACTAGGTTTTGAAGGTAAGATTTGGAGAAGATGGATGGAAATTAATGAAGGTAAGTGCTATTATAAATCTTAATTCATGATATAATACGTGTATGGTTTAATTATGAAATGAAATGTCTCGAAATTATTAATGTCATTGGCCAAGTTTGGCATGTTTTAAAAAAGACAAAAAGTCAAAAAGTTCTTATCAAAACGGAACCCGTGATGGCTCCACGAGTCGAAAAGCACCGTCCAGTGTAATGCCCAAATAGTAGACAATTACTTCTTAGCATCTATTCAACCTGCGTAGATAGAACAGCCGTACAACTCACACTCATAATCTTCTCTTACACACTAATTCATACAATTTTTTAATACACATTTTTCTATAAAAATTCAAAAAATTAACCCAAACATCCATATTTTTTCTCTCAACTTTTTAGTCCAAAAAGACAAAAAATACACTTATTTATGACACCCCAAACAACCCCTAAATATGCGATCCAAAAAAATGATGTGCGCTAATTAGATATGGCAATCGGAACCCGGCCCGACGGGGACCCAATCCCCTGATCCCGAATTGAGTGGTGATTCCCCGAAAAATACCCCCGACGGGCCGAAGGTGGTATCAAAAATTAAATCCCCGATGATATACGGACCGGGGACGAGGATACATGTTTCAGCCCCGGACCCGCCTCGACCCCGGCCCCGGCCCCGTTTGCCCCGATGTAAAATTACTACTTTGCCCTTTATATATATATATATATATATAACATGTGCGTATGTAGGGTTTGGTTAAACCAAACCTCACCTCAACTCAACTCAGTCCCTTTTCTTCCTCTATCTCTTCTCTCTCTCTCTCTCTTTCTTTCTTCTACTCTCACTCTCGCACCTCTCCGCGACGCCAATGGTCCTCCTCCGCGTCGTCCTCCGCCGATCGTCCTCCTACTCCGTCGTCCATCGCCTCCTCCGTTGTCCTCCTCTGCCGATCGTCCTCCTCCGACACAGATCTCAGTTTGTGTGCATACAAATTTTTTATTTTTTATTTTTTTTTGAATGAATACAGATCTGTTTGTGTATATAGAAATTTTTTTTTTTTGAACGAATACAGATCTGTTCAACAGATCTGTTTGTGTGTGTACAGAATTTTTTTTTTGAACGAAAACAGATCTGTTGTTGTGTTGAAACAAATCTGTTATATATATATATATTATATTATTATTAAAAAAAACAGATGTGTTTTTTTTTTGTTGATCTATGTTAATGATGTTGAATGTTGAAACAGAGTTGATGGTGTTGAATGTTGAAACATATCTATTTTTTTTTATGATCTGTTCTTTTTTTTTTTATCTGTTGATGGTATTGAATGTTGAAACAGAGTTGGATCGGGGAATTTTCGGGGTTGGGGAAACCCGATCCCTGTTGAGAATGGGGATGGGGACTGTGGTAGGTTCCCCATCGGGGATTGGGGCAGGGGAAGAGGAAGTTTTGGCCATCGGAGACGGGGAGGGTGATCCCGGCTCGCTCCGCACCGCTCCGCCCCGTCCCGCCCCGCCCCATTGCCATTCCTAGCGCTAATAGCGGCACTAAAACAAAAAAGTGGGAAAATATATAAAATCCTCGCAAAACCCAGTTATTCTCAAAACCTCTCTCTCTAAAAATGGAGAAAGGGGGAATGAACAATTGCAAGAATTTATCTGCTATGTCTCTTGAACAGTTCGTCTCCACCATGGCCCCTTTACTCGATCTCGAAAGGTGCCCTCTTTCTCTCTCTACACATACATACATACATTCATACATATACAGATATGTCATTTTAATCTTAGTTCTAGTGGAAATGCGCCGAATTGAGGATCTTCTATTCGCATTTTTACCTTCTGAATCATTGAATTAATCACTCTCTACTTAGCCCTTCTCAACTCTTTGAGTTTTGTATTTCGAAGAAGTGCATTCAATCGTGTAGCCTCTGCTAAGGGTTTAGCCCGTTTCGTTTGGAATTAGCTCTTGCCCTGATAGAGAAAAGAAAAATTTGTGGTTTTCTCATTATTATCATGTTTGGATGGGTTAAGATAGCAAAACATGTGAAATTGGCATACGAGTCAAAGAAATTTTATTCCTTTTGTGTTTTGATAGGTTATCTTGTTGGTATTACAAAATATATATACACAGCCAACCAGTTCGGTTTCTCACCAAATCTCACCATTTTTTGGTGGGAAATCAAAGTGGCATAATAAGAGAGTTATCTTTCTTTCAATTTCTTACAAATTTTCACTATTTTTTATTTTATTTTTATATGTCTAATTTATAAATCAAACATGAGAAAGAATTATCTTTCTCATCACTTCTTATCATTTCTCATCAAATCGCTCAATCCAAATGGGTTTAGTTATTTTAATTAACAATTATGGACTATAAATAATGAAAACAAAGTGCAAGAAGAAAAATACTTAAAGAAATTGCTGACATGTATAGTGTTGTTTTTATGACTGTATTATCAGCTTCCATGACTTCGGGGGCAACAAGGACTTTGGATGCTGCTCTGAAGAAAGGCTCCACCATTCTTAATTTGAAGTGTGTGGATGCTCACTGCTCAGGTAGTGCATTCTTTATTTTGCTTTATTTTCTCTCTTTCTTTTTTTTTTTTTTCTTTTCTTTTCTTTTTTTGGTTTAAATCATTTAACTTGTTGGGTTGTTTTTCTCTAATTTTGTTGATTTTGTTCTCACCATAGACAGGATTAATGGGAAAATCTCTTCTCGAGTTTCAGTCTACTAAAGGTGATGTTCTTCCTGCCCACAAGGTGAGTGTCTAATGTCCACTCATTACTATTTTGATTTTGATATTTATTACATGTTATCATGTGATGTGTGCTACGATATACGACCCCATCCCTGACGGGGAACTTATCACACTGCTTGCCCTCTGGTCCTGCCAATTGCAGGTTCTGCAGGAAGATTTGGCCGGTCGGTTAAATACAGTGCCAACCGGCAATCCATAAATGGCCGATAACTTCATCAGCGGCCGGTGACCATTTCCCATGGCCGGTGGCCATCCCTCCCAGCCGGTGGTATTCCCCAACATCCAGAGAGCATGTCCTCAGACTTTGGCAGTCCTCAGAGGAGCAGGGCAGTGAAAAACAGAGGCAACAGTGCTATGGCAGCGAGTTTCCGGGCGATATGGGTCAAGCATGCATCATTCGCGCATCCCAAGGCGGGGGCCGTGGCCACCTTCCCTTTGCATTTAATTTGTTAATTAAATAGGAATTTTGTAATAATTAATTAAGTAGTTAGTTATTTATTCGGACTGTAATAATTATTCGGTCCCTCCGAGTGAGGGCGTATTTGTAATAAGTGTGGGTGCGTGTGTGCATGTCTTCCAATCCCCCACTTCTTTCTCCCTTTTACTTACCTGCTTTGATGGTTAGTATTAGGACATGTTTAATTTAGCATACCTTATGCTATGCATGCGTGCATCCATACATTTGTCTTACATGCACCGGGCTTGGCACATCATGCTAACTGCACTTGTGTTTCAATTCCAAAGTTGAGTACTTGTTAATTGCAGCATTTCACATACCACGTTTAGGATAGCCGAGCCCATCATAGTTGCATCTTGCATGTGTTGCATTAGCCATCTTAACATGAACTAGGATCATGCATATGATTACTAACTAGTTTCTGTTTTGGCTTGGAGTACTAGGTGAGCTCTTATGCTTTAGCATCCTTGCATGCGTGTGAGTGTTGCCATGACAGTATGATTACCATGAGGCTAGCTGCTTATGTGATATAACTGCTTGAATGCCTGTGGATGGAGGTTGAATTACCTAAATTGGAATAATGCATTAAAACTGTGAGTTTTAAGCCCACTAGATAGTGGCAAAATCATCCTTTCTAAAAGCCCACTTGAGGGTGGCAAAACCTGCATTTTAGCCTACTTGCGAGTAGCAAACCATTTTCAAAACAAACATGAAATGTTTTGTTCCAATTTAGGCGATTTGGTCTATACTTGTTTGCTGTGCGCATAACATAGTAATTCTAGGCTAAAAACCAGAATAAGAACACATAACGTTTCAAAAATTAGATATCATGGTTAGTAGAGGCCAATCTTCGGATCGGACGAGAGGGGGTACTCATAGCTGACCTTCCCCAATCATACACAACCAACTCCTTCCTTGTCATCTCGGTCTTAACTGCATATGAATGCGCATGCTGGATAGCCTGCAAAAAGTAAAACACATAAGTGAAATTTGACTAAGTGCTGAAAGATTGGAAAAGAATGAATAAAGAGGCTTACCAAAACTGAGTACTGCATCATCAGGCCGAAGTTTTCATATACGTGGAGGTTGGCCATGTGATTCATATCTTCGGGTAGGAGCACGGCCATTAACAGGGCGGTACCGACCTCGATGTCGTTAATCGCGCTGTCATTGGCTGTCAAAGGTTTGTTTCCTACCATGACTTCAGGCGCCCAGGTCATATTGCGAAAACAACTGCTGCTACCCTCTGGGCAATCTAACCTCGGCTTCTTCGATGGCGGGACATCTGGTGTTGTATCCTCTGATGGCCTCTTTTCGACAGTGGTAGTGTTCTTCTCGACCTTAGCTAGTTTTGAGATTGACACGGTGTCCTCAGAGTCAATCTGGATCATTGTGGCCTTAGCCTTGGCCTTCTTCACTCTTTTCAACTTTGGCTTTGATTGGGATGGAGAAGATGAGGATTGCACCGTCACAACCCTGGAGATGTTGGCAAGGAGATCCTTAACAATGGTTGGTTTACGGCCCATTTCGTTGGCGGTGGAAGCAATTGTTACTCTGGTGCCGAAGTGGATTTCTCGAAGGGCGATTGGGGGATTGGTCAGATCGTAAGGCGATGCCTCAGAGTCTCGGCATTTGTAGCTACGAGTTCTGCTAGCATGAGCGAAAATTAGAACTCGGCGTCGGTGTTGGCATTGGCGCTGGGATGGAGGAATTAGTTGAGGGGCATAAGTAGATGGTTGCTCAACTGGGTCAGAGGTGGAGGCCTAATCTAGCCTTAGAGATGAAGTTGTTGGTGGAGTTGTGGTAGAAGGAGGGGTCCTACTTCGGCGTGGAACGTCGGGCAAGGCCGACTTGTATGTTAGTATGTAATTCAGTAGAAGAGGGGCCTTGCGTTTCTGCACAAGGAGATCTAAGAGCTTCTTTAGATCTCAGCTGGGGACGAATGATTGTCGAAATTCTTTGGCTGGTTGAGGAAGAACTGCAAAAAACAAAGAGCAAACATTAGTAGAGATGAGTGAGTTGGCAAGCTTTAACCAAAACGAAGTTACAGTAGGATGACTCATTCTTACCATCACCCTCTTTAAAAACTGTTCGGCTCAGAGGATAGAGATGAAGATCGTCATCAGGTGCAAAATCCCAGTTGCCCAAGACGATGAAGTAATCATCTCCAGCACCCTTGTTGGAGTCTGGGAGGTCGGCTATTAGTTTGAAGGCAGTGGATCTGGGCTTAAGGTAGTATATGTAGCCTTTTTCAGACTTAAGGCCACACATGGTATAGTAGAATTGGATATCGGCTAGAGTGATCCTAGCTTTTTCTCAGTGTGCTAGTTCAATTATGCCATTGATAACCCTATATGAGTTTATGGCCAGTTGCATTGGGTTGAGCTTGTAATAATGAAGGATTTCTCGAAAAATAGTGTGTAGAGGGAACTGGAGTCCACACTCTATAAAAACAACTATTGGGAAGGGCATAGAGTCCCCATCAGGCATAATGGAGTCCTCCTCCCCAGCCAATCTGGGTTGAACATCGACTGGGATGGAGAACTCTCGACGGAAATACTCTGGCTGTGTTTGGAATGATTTCCAAACTATGATTCTATCCTCACATTCCAATACGATGTTTGGATAATCTTCTTAAATCACATTTCCACAACATTTAGAAAACTCCGTGCGAGGCGCAATTTTCAAATTTGGCCTAACCAGTCATCCCGCCGGACGTCCCACCGATCGTGGAACAGTGCTTCTTTTTTTTTTTTTTTTTGCAATTGACATATGTTAATTTTTCAACAATGATAGAGGGCCCTAATTTCTGTGGCTCAAATGGCTCGAATTTTTCAAAACGACGTCGTTTTGAGTACAAAACAACATCAAATTTGCCAAAACGACGTCGTTTTGGCAAATTTGAGCCATTTGAGCCACAGAAATTAGGGCCCTCAAACATTTTCCTTAATTTTTATATATTCGAAAAAATATTTTCTGAATTTTTTAAATTTTTTTATGTGTTTTAATAGAATATTGATTTGTATGTTTAGTTATGAGTTGTAAGTTTTTGTATCAAATATCATATGTCACATCAAAAATTTCCTACTCAATTCAAAACTCTTTTACCAAACAAATTTTCCACGCTCAAATCATAATTCCAAAACTCAAACTCAAAATGCAACTTCTACTCTCAAATCATATTTAGAAAGCTCTACTAAACGCAACCTTTATTTTTTCTGGGGTATCCACTCTCCACTTGAACATACCCATAATGTCAGCTAGTGAAGATTGGTGTGAAATTTCTGGAAAGAATATTTGGTATGGGTTTAAAGACCTCGACTTAATCCTAATCAGGTACTGGTGCATGGGTTCTTGAAATCTAAGAGGGTTTTTGTTTTGATTTTCCTAAAGAACAAAGTTTTGAAGCAAATCCCAAACCTAGGAACTACAAGCACAGGGACTGAAGGCAAAAATCTAGAAATAAAACAAGAAAAACAGAAAAAGAGCATGATTCAGAAATCAAAAAAGCAAAATTTTTTCAAGAAACACTGAGTAGGTGTGTGCGGATGTGCAAAGGCCAAGAACAATGGCAAAAATTATTAAAGCTTCAAACCTATGAGCACTATATATGTGTGTGCGAGAATCACGAACTGTGTGAATGGACACAAGGACATATTGAACAGCATGAATCACAGACAAATACGAGATTCAAAATGCAACAAGGATTCAAGAACAAAAACTGATTTGCAATGGCGACAAATAGCATGTAAACATTTAACAAATTCAAAACAAATCAAAGGAATAATGAAAGACTGAAAATGGAGGAAATCAGTTGCTTACCAAGGAAACAAACCCCGGGATGAGTATCGCCAGAGTCAGACGACGTGAATGGTCGCAAACAGATAATGAAAAGGTCACCGGGGGAGGTAATCGGAACAGTTGTAAAGCTTGCAGGGTTGAACAATGGCGGTTTAGTAGAGAGGCGTTAGAGAAAGAAAGCTTCAAGGCAAAATGAATACTCAAAAGTGAAGAGACGAAGAGAGAGGGAGAAGTTTTGTCAAAATTGTGAAAATGCGGCAAACCATAATGATATGCCTTAGACGACGTGTCTGTCAGATGGCATGCGCAGAAGCGACGCGTCTTGATAGTGTGTGTCAGGTATGAACCAATGAGAAAAGAACACGTGGCAGAAACGATTGAGAAAACCGTGCGTGACAGCTCATGCGCATATAAAACTCTTAGAGTTTTGGATTTAATGAGACAACAACCTTGGTTAGAGGAACAATCTCAATTAAGGAGTATAGCGATCCCAGTTTTCCTCCATTGTATATTGTATTCTGGACTTAGGTTCCGTAGTTGTTGATTGTTGTTTATATCTTGTTTCCATCCTTTAATTCCTTGTATTTGAGTTTTGGGATGTATTGGGCGGGTTTGTAACAGGTTGGGTGTGTTTTGAAACAAATGGTTAATGTCTAGATTTTGGTTTCTTCGCTCCAGCGAGCATTAGGTTTTAGTTCCTTCGCTCGAGCGAGCTTTGAGTGGTATGTCTCTTCGCACGAGCGAGCATTCTCGCACTCAAGCGTGCGTCTGCGTCTTGGATAAACCTGAAGGTTGGTATTCTTCGCTCGAGC